TGTTGGTGTTTAGCCAGTGCTTAAAATTGCAGGTATCTGGGGGGAAAGATAAAAAGAAAAGCATATTTTAAACTTCCAGGCTTTCCTGTGCATTTATTTGCCAAGGAGTCTGCAAATATTGGTATTAAACACATGAAAGCCTTAAAATAAACTCTTCACAAAGCTGAGTGATTGGCGTGTTATTTCAAACACCCACTGGTTTGGATTCTTCCAAAGAAAATGCTGCCTTGGCCCATCCATTTTTGGGAATTTCTGCAATAATACGATTAGTCTGTGGGACTGGGGAATCTCTTCCCTTTGTTTGAACCCAACACCGGTCTCCTGGATGGCTTGGGGGCACCATCGGTCACCTTTCCTCACTCATCATGGATGGGGTGATGGACACCTTCCCAAGCCACCATGGGCTGAAGCGTGAGGGAAGCGGCTGTGGATTCTCTGGTGTCTAATATAAAGGTTGAGCTGCTGGGTGAGGGCTCCTTTGGCTCTTCTTTGCATTGCAAGCTGTTATCTATGAAACTCAGAGCAGCTCAATAGGGCAGAGACTTTGCCCCTCTACTGAGTTGGCCATCTAGATCAGAAATGACTCAGAGGGGCAAACAGACAGACTTATTCCTTAGAAAATCAAGCCCCAAGGAGGAAATGAGATGAGAGGGAACAGCCTCAAGCTGTGCCAGGGCAGGTTTAGGTTGGATATTAGGAAAAACTTCTTCCCCGAAAGGGCTGTCAGGCCCTGGCCCAGGCTGCCCAGGGCAGGGGCTGAGTCCCCATCCCTGGAGGGATTTAAAAGCCGGGGAGATGTGGTGCTTGGGGACATGGTTTAGTGGTGGCCTTGGCAGCGCTGGGTTAATGGTTGGACTCGATGATCTTAAGGGTCTTTTCCAACCTAAATGATTCTATGATTCTATGAAAACCAGAAGAAAAATTAAGCCGGGAGTCACTACTCAAAAAAGAAGTGGAAGTACCAAGTGGCTTACAGTAATAACATGGCTCACTGCCTGCCTCTGCCAGATTAAGGGTCTGCTTCCTAGAAAGGCATGACCAGGAATGAAAACCCTGTACTCGGATGCTGGGAAGGCCTAGCAGAAGTGTGCGTCCCTCCAGCCCATGTGGCACATTTCTTTGCTTGGCTCGAAACCCTCAGTGCTCTTAACTTTCTCTTTCTGCTCCCAGTTCTAAGAGAGATTTAGAAAAAGTGGTTTGGGTTTGTTTTTTTTTTTTGGTTTCTCTGAAGTAAGCGCACAATCTCTGTGTTCCCCGTCAATGGATATTATTCTTGAGCCCATGTGGCACATTTCTTTGCTTGGCTCGAAACCCCAATGCCTCTTACCTTTTCTTTTTGCTCCCAGTTCTAAGAGAGATTTAGAAAAAGTGGTTTGGGTTTGTTTTTTTTTTTTGGTTTCTCTGAAGTAAGCGCACAATCTCTGTGTTCCCCGTCAATGGATATTATTCTTGCTTAATTCTCATTCTTGGGTTTGAGTGACTCACATGAGCTACAGAGAAATCATTGCAGGAAAATCTTGGGTGTGATGCTGCAAAACCCAGGAGCTAAAGCTATTCACGTGTGAGCCCTTTGTCCACATGGCATTTACCCTGGGGTGGGACTCCAAAACCTGGGCTGAAAATCAAGAGGAGGTTTTCAGAGTGTGTATTTTGGGATGACTAATTTAGCAATTTTGGGGCTTGCAGCTATTTCTTTGGCTTTGTGCTTTTGAGTGTTCATGTTTTGGCAACTATAAGGGCTAGAAAGTTTTTTAAAAGAGAAACCAAAGCGGAGCTTTCTGCCATGGTGCTTCTCCATCCCACACTGCAGGGCAGTGGGCATTTACCATGTCTGCATTTTAAAGAAATCGCTGGGAGATCAGGTGCAGCAAAAGGGCACAAAACTAATTTGAAGGCTGGAGAAATCAGCCTCGGGACAAGAGCGAAGGAATGAGAGCTGCTCAGATTATTGCCAGGCAGATTTCAAGGCAACTTGATCACAGTTCGTAATAAATTCATCAACTGAGATGAGTGTGTCCCAAAAGTCTCGTTACGATGGCAGAGGAAGGCACAGCAAAAGCCAGGCTGGGGAGCAAGCGGCAGATAAATTGCGATGGAAAACAAAATATATACTTTTTCATGGGGACTGTGGTTAGGTTCGGGAAACCTTCTTCTCCTGGTCTCTGTAGAGGAAGGTGAGAAGCCTTTGAGAACAAGAGGTTTCACTCCAACACGTGGAGCCTCTTGGTTTGGTGGCTCCGTGAATTGCTGGGTGAAGCAGAAAAAAATGTGGTCTATGGGATGGGAGATGAATTATTTAGAGATTCATTCATTAATTACTTAATCTAGCAACTTCTTCTGGTCTTCAACAGGAGTGGCCTAGGAGAAGCTACCCACCTAGTCTATGGACTCCTACAGGAGTTTAGAAGCTGGAGGTATCTACTGTGGAGCCCACGTGTGGACAGCTGTATCTGGAGCTTGAAACACGTCTATGACATTCCACAACCCAGTTTCTATCCCCAGTATCCCCTCTTCTTTGTACACATCGGAGGAGATGGCAGAAGAGTGCTCATAGTAGAAATAAATTTATTTACTATAACAAATCTGAGGTGTCTGCATGTTACAAAAATAAAAATGTACAGTCGTTGTCACAAACCCCACTGTTTTTTAGTATAAGTTAGTCCTTTTACAAACAAATAAAATGTCTATATACAAATTTCCAGTTGGTACCTCTCCAACCGCTCTCCGTCTGACAGTGCCACTAGCTTGTGCGGGACCAGGATCACAGAGGATCACCAGGATCACCCCCTTGATGGGATTGGCAGGGTTGCCCAAGGCAGCGGTTTGAAGCTGGCTGATGCCAGCTGGGAGGAAGGTGGGATCACTGAGCAGGACCACAGGAGTGAACTTTGAGCACATTTTTGCTGAATTATTCAGAGCACGTAACTTGGTGTTCACGCTGCTTTTTGGCAAGCGCGGGAGACCAGGCACGACCTGGCCTGGAGTAACGTTTGTACCAGTTCAGCGCTTCGGTTGAATTAATTTCTCCCAATTATTTGTCTCGCCCTGGTGACTGTGCTGTGACCCTCCCCATAAAGCCAAGCCCCCTTCACAGGCACAGTGAAAAAAAGGTGCTGCTACGGTGCAAGTCCTATCTTAACCCAACCCTATCCTAAAAGTTCACTCAAGGATGAGATGAACCACCTTACAAATGTCCTATTTTTCTTTGCCGATGGTGCTCAGAGCTGAGACAGTCCCTCCTGTGGTTGTGACATTGTTGGTTGGGACAAGAGCCCTCCATGGGACCATGGTTCCACCGAGCCGGGACCACAAGAACCTCCCAGTTGCCCCTGGATGGTCCCAGTTGCCCTTGGTTGAACTCAGCCAGTTAAGTCGCGGTGTGCCTTTATCTCCACCAAGCCACTTCATAAGAAGGAGGGATGGGAGAAACTAAGAAGAGGTCTGAGGAATTGGTCTAAATGAGGATCAAATGTGTTTGCCTAATCCTAAAATAGAGTCAGGGCTGCTTTTACAAAATATGACTCGTCCAGTGCTGCAGCACAAGCAATTTTCATTTTTGGGGTGAGGAATCAGCATCTTCGTGGCAAGGCTGGGCAAGGAAACCATGGACCTGGGCTCTTGGCTCTCTAACCCAACAATTACAGAGAGAAAGACCAAGTGGACCTTCTGGTTAAGTGTTTTGTGGATATTTTCTCCAGTTTACTTTGAACTGTCCTGGCTGATGGGGGGTGCAAGGCCAAATCCAGACAGGACTGGGGTTAAGCGTAGCACCACGTTTATTGGTATGGCTCCTAAACCCAGGGTTTAGCGCTGCCAGATTTCCCAGGGAAGGTCCACACTGTCAGTAAGGGATATGCTGACTGGCTTCAGCAGAACACTGGCATTACTGGGATTAGGAGGAGACCAGACAGCAACATCTGGGCAGCATTTTGGGTCACAGAAAGCTGCTAAAGGTCCCAGAGCGCCATCACCTCTGAGCAGCAATGAGGATGTGGCAGCACTCGGCCTAGGGGATGAGCAACGGTGTTTGCTTCTTTGCTGGAAACATGAGTCACTAGTAAGGGGGTTAAAAACAAGACATGAAGAGCTCACCCTCAATTTTAATGAGCTGGAGACGATTATTAAAGTCAGCAGCTGAAAGAAAGCTATGGGTTCCTAAAAGCTTTTCAAGGGTGAACGCTGCTGTTGGGAAGCACTAACGGGACTTTTGGAAGACGTTGACCCCTCTGGAGAAACCTACAGGGGACCTTCTTGATGGTACCAGTGAACTCCAGTGGGATGGTACCAGTACACTCCAGGGGGATGGAATGTCCACCAGCACCCTTTCTAATGGGAAGCCAGTCCTTGGACAGGAGTTAGGAGTCCCCTCCCGGCTCTGCCAGCAGATGCCGGGGCTTGAAGCTGGGAGAGCATTTCTGCAGGGATGCAAAGCTGTGGGAGACCCTTTCCCGCTGCGGGTGGTATTTGCGCTTGACATTTTCATCGACCTGTTTAGCAGCATCGCAGCTGACTCTCTTCATCGACCAAAAGCCCTTCGTCCCTTGCCAAGGCACAGAGAAACGCTTGCTACTCTGCCAGGGAATCTGGAGAAAGGCAGATGGATTTCTTTAGGGGGACCTTTTGAACACAAAGTTTCTGCTTTAGAAAATGATCTAAGACATTCAGGGCATGATTTTTTTTAGCAGATTTGGCCACCATGATAGAGGTCACCCAGCCTCACTGGTGGAAAGATGCCATTGAACGTTGAACAGAGGCAGGCTTAGACGACGAGGCAGAGATACGGAGTTTGTGTGTATAACCACAGTGGCATCTTCCTGAAAAAATACATTTGAAACAACGAGAAGCAGAGAAGCGTGTTTAACACAGACCATGCTGAAGTGGGAGCAAGCCAAGGCACTGCAAACACCAAAAGCCTCAGGCCTTGAAGCATCCTGACCTCCCTTCACACCTGGGATAAACTCTTCTGTCGCAGAGACGGTGCTGGCCGTGCCGGAGCAGAGCTAGGATTTCACATCCTTGGATAACGTATCTGTGTTGTTACTGGTTCCCAGGTGACTGTTGGGCACGATGCCCAGTGCCACTTCATTTTGAGGCTTCCCTGGCATTTTGTTGCCCGCAAACTTCATAAATCGTTGTCCTGCTAAGAAATACAAAATGGGATCCAAGCAGCTGTTGGTGCTAGCTAGGGGACGAGTCACCTTATAGACTAAATTGATAGCATTGAGGGTCTGACAGCTCAAGTCCCAGCTCCGGAAGGAGTAATACAAGGTACGAGTGACATGGAAAGGAAGAAAACAAACAATGAAGACCACCAAGACGATGATTATCATCTTGACTGACTTCTTTTTGGATCGGGACAGCCGGGAGATCCCCCGTGTGGGCTGCAGCAGCCTCCGGGCCATTAGGCAGTAGCAGACGATGATGATGAGGAAAGGGATGCAGAAGAGCAGCACCAGCATCACCGAACTGTAAATGACAAACTGGCCAAAGAGGTCCTTGCTGGACGTGTCGTGACAGGTGATGGTGCCACGCTTCGTGCTGGTGGTGACGAAGAAGAGAATGGGCGACTGGCACACGACGGTCACCACCCACACGATGACCGACACCCTCCGGGCGTAGCGAACGTGTCCCCACTGCAGCGACTTCAGGGGGAAGCAGATGCCCAGGAATCGATGGATGCTGATGCAGAGGAGGAAAAGGATGCTGCAGTAGAGGTTGGTGTAAAACAAGAAGCGGACTATCTTACACAAGCCCACACTGAAGGGCCAGTTGTCCCCCATGGCATAATAATACACCAGGAGGGGCAGGGAGACCACGTAGAGCGTGTCGGACACAGCCAGGTTGAACATGTACGTGGTGGAGGCGTTCCAGGTCTTGATCCTGAAGATGAAGGCATAGAGGGCCAGCAGGTTGAGAAAGAGCCCCACCACGCACACGATGCTGTAGGAGACTGGCAGCAGGACATACTTGAAGTCCTCATCAAATATGCACTTGTAGGTGTCTCCTGTGCCACCTGGGTCCAAGGAGCTGTTGATGACTGTGGTCCAGGTTGGAGGAGTTGTTAGGATCGCCATCACCCTGGGGGGAAAGCAAAGAGGCTGTAAGGTCATGGAGGTGAGGAGTCCCTGGGAGAGATGGGTTAGATGAGAAAACCTCAGCGCCACAATGCTGTGACACGTTGTGTGGTCCATGCTGTCATTACTGTCTACTATTACTATACCCTTCCCTTCTCCTCCCATCAAGGTTGCCATCAACACTTGGCTGTCTTTATTCAAAAGCTACCTCAAGCTTGGCTCGCTGTCTGGCAGGCAGTGCCATCTCAGTGCAGGTGACAATGACTCGAGAGGTGCCAGTGCATGCCTCCTGCCAGCACACTGCATAGCCACGAAGGCCATGGCCTCATTGCATTGGGTGTTGACACAACCGAGATAGTCCCTAGCATGGAGGACTTATGGTCAAGCAGATAAAGGGAGTTTTATTTATCCTCATTTTGCATCTGGAGCACAGAGGAGGAACTAAGCTGCTGTAAAGTCACCAACGAATCCCAGGCCACACCTGGGAGTCCAACTCAGATCTCCTGCAGCCCAGTTCAACGTCCGCATCCACATTTCCCACCAGGTTCACGCAGAAATTTGGTCTCCTGCACTACAGAACAGGAAAGATGCTCCATTTTGTGCTTAACCATCCACAAGAAGTGACTCAGCTGAGCACCGAGAAAGGTGGGCCCTACTAAACCTCAGGCAGAAAGGGCAAGAAAAGGGGACCGTGCTCTTCAGCGAGCAATCCCCGTGACTGGCAGGGCCCTGATTTCAGAGGTCCTCAGCTCATTCTAGTAGAGCAAACATCACCACAACATTTGGAGGCCCCTGTAATCAAACCTTGCCAAAGGGAGCGTGTTCTTCACCACAGGGGCTCTGCCTAGGTTGGTTATTGATGATGATGATGGGTTTTTAGTGGGTTTAGTGTTGGGCCGATGGTGGCCGTCTCTCTGGTCCTGCTTCCTGGCCATGAGACCTGCTCCTCTAGCATCACCACTGCCAGAAAGTCTGCCCATGCTTGTGCAAAGCTGGTTTATACATGGCAATGACCATTTGAGATGAGAAAAATGGACTCGAAAGAGTTTCTGCGGACACAGAGTCTGGCACTGTCTGCGTCAGGAGGGACAAGGGTCCTTTTGTGCATCAGGCACAGCCCACGACTCAGCCGACACATGATCGCTCAGCAAGCTCATCAGCCAGGCATCAAATTAAAATGTATTTGCCTCCCTTCCCACAAAACAAGCCGGTTTGATCTCACTGCTGTACCCTGTTACAGGGAGCCCATGGAAATGGGAGTAATAGGGAGATGAATCCAGTGCAGGAGCTCAGAGACCAGAATCTACTGCAGGAAAAAAGGTTTGAGTAAAGGTGCCCTTTGAATGAGCACGTGGGATGTGCCCTGACCCAAATCTCATCATGCTTTTAGGTGGAAAAGGGCAATACCGGCCTTCTCAGCTACAGGCTTCTGCTCTAACCTGGTGCCACCATGCTGCAGGATAGCATGGGCATGCCCTTTCTTGCAAACAAGCACTGTTTTGACCCAGAGCTACCCTGCACCTACCTCCAATTCAGATCCTGCAGGGAAGGAGGCAATGAGGGTCTCCTAGAAGCTGCCAACCTGGATGACCTCTTACCAAAGCGAAGCACTATGGCATTAAAAAGCACCTTGACAACTCCTAGCAGATGAAGGAGTGAAGTGATGCCTCCAGCCCATCACATGGGGATAACTCCAGTCCTTGCTCCAGGGACTGGATCAAACAACCTGTCCAGATGTGGCAGGGGGACAGTCCCTGACGATACTTCCCCTATTTCGTTGCTTTTCCCCTTGAACCACAAGCAGCGCTGGCTGAGGCTCACACTTCCAAGGACGTGGGCAGAAACCACACGCATGCTCACACCCTGACTAATCTGCAACATCTGCAAAAACCCAAATATAACTTTGGGAACCACTCTGCAATGAACGTGAGGAGCCAGGACTAATTTTGCTCTGTCCTGGCCCCAGGGTTTTGCTGTTCCTGTGCCTGGTACAGCTTTGGTCCCATCACCCTTCATTCTGCTTCCCTCAAGTCCTTGGCAATGGGGTTGTCCCTGCGGATGCAGAGGGTTGACAGTGCTCGGGCAGATGGGAAAACACTTTCCAGCTGCTCTACTCCCCAACTTCTTCTTTCCCTCTGAGCTTTGCAGATCTGCGGCCAACGAGACAGAGGTTGCCTGCAGACCTGGCAGCCGATTAAACGGGCCGGACAGGCCACCGTGACCGAGAGAAGCCACACAAGATGCCCCAAAAGGTGCAGGGAAGGGTGACAGAGCTCCAGAGACTTAAGCTTTGCACGTTGTTTCTCCATGCCTTTACGTCTGCAACCCCTCTGTCCCCTGCAGACAACCCATCACCCAGCTCTGCAGTACCGACAGGGGCAAGATCACCCCACCTTCCAGCCCACCTCCCTGCAGGCTCCTGTGACCCCAGCTAGAAAATCCAACAAGGTGTTTGAAACCCATCCGTAAGCCAAGGTGGGGAATCTCCTCCAGCGTGCAGGGCAGCACGGGTTGCCCCAGGCCATGCTGCGGCCATGGATGTGCCAAGACGCACATCCCCGTCGTCAGGACAAGGAGCAAACAGGGCTCTCTGGTTGGCTTGAACGGGGTAATCACGGAGACAAAACCCCGCTCACAAGGCAGCCTTGTCCTTGCCATCGTACTCTCCCTCCTTTTCCTTCTGAAAATGCAAAAGCCTTTCTTTTTTCTTTTTTTTCCCTACTTTTGCCCAGAATCCCTAGGACAAAACCTGCTGTGTCTGTCGGGGCCATGGCTGCAGTCCACCCCCTCGCCCCCGGTCCCGTTGCATCCGCAGCGAGCGAGCCGGAGAGGACACGGCCAGCCAAGGCGTGTGAAGGCACAAAAGCTGGCAGCTGCCCTTTCCTCTGCCTACGGGCCGGATGGCACGAACGCCAACTCTTACAGTGATGCATCCAGCCCCCGGCAGTGACGAGGGGAGGGAGAAAGCAGCAGCGATCCCTGAGGATGCCAAGCATAAATACTTCTATGACTACCAAAAGCAACCCCACCATGATGCTTTGGTGAGGACTACCTCACCATCAGCTCTCCTGGCCCTTCCTAGGGTCATGGCAGGAGGTTTTTTCTCTGGTGTTGAATGCAGGTGACCATGCACAGATTTTTAGGTGCCCTTAAGCCACCCGTGCACAGCAAGGGCATCGCCCCAACCAGCTTCCTCCATGCTGGACCATGTGTTGGGTCTGGAGGAACCTGGTTGCAACGGCTGGACCATCTCTCTCTTTGCAGCATGGCCTTGGACCTGTTTATCCCATGGGACGTGTTTGGTTTTGTGTTTTTTTTTCCCAGAAAACAGGTACCATCAGCTGTAGTGGATGAAGACCACATGGGAAAGGAGCCCTATGATGAGAGGAGCCCGGGGAGATCGGTGTTGCAATCCCGGCAGCCACGTGCCCTCAAATATATATACCCACAGGCATGTGCATGTGATGTCAGCATCTCAAAACGCTCCCGTAACAGTATCTACCATGGGCAGGCAGGAGATATTTAGATGAGTCAATATGGGGAAGGAGGGGGCTGTCATCGGAGAAGGTCACGGGCAGCCGAGGGATGGGCAGCACCCAGGGCCAGCACAGGGGGACCATGGGTTGGACACTGAATCACCGAGTAAAAGGCTTTCATCCTGGTTTCTGCCCCCTTTTTCAGCATTCCCGGTGCTATCCCAGTGGTCACCATCCATCCCGCAGTGTTTTGTGCCTGGGAACCTGCCAGCAGAAGCAAAGTCACGAAAGCAAACAAAGCGCTACCAAATCACGCCTGTGATGAACGAGTTTTCACGGGGGGCTGATGAGGTTTAATTGACCTTTCCAAATAATTAATGTGGATTAATTTACCAGTGGAACCTCACAGACGCAGCCCTTCGTTCTGCCGATGCGAAGCCCTGGGAAATTAAACCTGCGCGGTGCGGACGCACTGACTGGGACTGCAGCTCCCATCGTATTACACCGGAGGTCGAAACCACGATCCATTTACCGCATCTTCCCTACCGACTCTTTTGCAACAGACACAAGGAGAGCGTGGGTGTTTTCCCTGCCCTAATTTATAGGCATTTAGTAGACTCATCAAAATCCTCACTCCGGATCAGGAACTACTCGAGACGCTGGGAAGCAAACGACCTGGCATCGTTTTTCTCTCCTTTGGGATTGTGGTTGAAACCCTCTGCAACCAAAAGCAAACAGACAGCGTGTTCAGATGCTACCGAGCCTGTCTGGCTGGGAGACGCGAGATGTGACCAGGATGAAATCTGAACCTGGCCAAACTGCCTGGTTTTCATCTGCCCTTTCCATTTGGCTCCTTTCTGCCGCCGTGACCTTCAGCACCTTTCTCCTCCGGGCTGGCTCCGGCCACCAGTGTGGGCTGAGGACATCCCCAGCCGTCCCGGTCCCACCATCCGCATCGCTCCCCAGCGCTTCTCTCCAGAGATCCCAAGGGAAGATACCTCCAAGATACATTTCCAAGATATCCCAAAACAAGCTTTAAGCAGCTTAAGGGGCTTTACCCATCTCCCTGGCTGGAGCCCCAGGCAATGTCCTCTCTTTTATCCCCCATGGGTCTGACCTACCCCTTCCCCATCCCCAAAATAGCCAGAAACCCTCATTCCTCCCCAAATGAACTTGCAAAGAATTTGTGTTTCTCTTATTTTCCCCTAAAAAGCACCTCAGAAGGCTCTGGGCAGCTCCAGTCTGGCTGGAAGAAATGGAGCTGCTCCGCCGAAGCGTCCCTGTGCCTCAGTTTCCCCTCCTGCCCCCAGGCTGAGAAGCAGAGGAGTTGAATTTGCTTTCTCTGTGAAAAGTATTTTTTGGGGGAGTTTCGGTTTCCTTGAATCACTTGACCCAAACTAAAAAGGGAAGAGGGAGTTTGGATAAAAGATATAATAACTTAAAAAGAACTTTATGACTTTGTTTGCAGGTCAAATAAAATGTTTTACTTTGAGCCAAATGACTTTTTCTAGGAATTTCTGGTTT